AATAAAACCTCATTCTTAATCTAATGTCGAATGTTTTCAATGTATTGTTTATTGGCAATCTCTAGGAATGTGATAAACCATAAACATGTTTAAAATCCGACTTAAAACAACAATATATTGTGTGTCTTTTAATTGCTCAATTAAGACAAAATATTATTTCAAAAATCACAGATTAATGGAATCAAGGAGCCAGAACAAAAAAAATAATAACCTTGCCCTCTCCTATTTTTTTTAAATTCGTACTAATTAATTAGTAATAATTTTTAATTTTAGGAACCCTTGCTGATGGAATTTTTATCTTTTCGAAGAAATCGTTTTACACATATAGAGTGGAATAAAATATAAAAACCTATCATTCAGGACGAAGAGGGGAATACAAAATCACTATAGATGTCTTGTATTGTTTACAGAAAAAAAAATCGACATTGTAAATATGAAATTATTATAAATAGACACAGTATTCGTGTCTTAAAGTCTTAAACAATTACGTTTTAAATTCACTGACTGAAGCTTAATAATTTTTTTAACAGTCGAAAAATGGGCTAACATTATTTACCGGTTTGACATTTTTTCTACGTCTAATTAGACAGATAGATGTGTACATAGAGAAAACGAATTGAGCGTGAGAGTGAGAGAGAGAGAGAAAAAATAAAGAAAAAAGAGAGGTAGAGGTAGAGAGAGAGAGAGAGCGAGAGAGAGAGAGAGAGAGAGAGAGAGAGAGAGAGAGAGAGAGAGAGAGAGAGAAATTTATTTAGAGAATACAAATACATGTAATACAATACGGACATAATATCAACTAATTTATGTTTCCATGATTTTATGAGTTTTTAATGATTTTCTCTTAGATGGAAGAGAATCGGAGAGAGCGGTAGAATCGTAGAAAATCTTTTCCTCTCTAGCCGATTACCTGATAAGAAAAACAGAGAAATTTTTACTGTTTAATTCGCCTTTTTTCAATTTATTATAATTCTTTCTATGCTGTATTTTTAATATTAAGTATTAAAAAATACTTACCGCTTATGTAATTTTTGTCCACGGTTCGATAAGAAGCCTTTCCTTTTCTGTAAACGATCTTTTTCTTGTAAAGATAATACGACTGGATAAGGCCTGGAAACTTTTTTTTGTATCACGTTGTCGTTTGTCTTGTTTGACAACCCGGAAAAAGGGCGCGATAGTATAAATAAAAATCTGGTAATTAACAGAATCCAATTAGTCTTTTCTTCGATTGTTTTGTCAATACTATCGTAACTTATTCGTAATTTATTTTGATCACTGTTTCAAATATAATATTATTAGACATTTTTTAAAACATTTCTTCTACCAAGACCATCCCACTTCTTTTGGTCGAAGCTCAATTAGCCTTAATATACATGAAACATTTCAACATTGAAGAACTAGTTTTTCAATAAAATTCAAACTTTCAGCTACTTTACGTGTCTCACATACACACGGCTAAATACGCCGCTGCTCTACCGCTTGGCGTATTTACCCGAGGGTCGTGGGTTCGAATCCCGCTCGTGGCACTGTCTTTTTTATCTCAACCAATACCTTACATATATAATTAAGATTTTTAGTTGAGATAAAAAAGTCACTGGCACGAGCGGGATTCGAACCCACGACCTTCGGCTAAATACGCCGCTGCTCTACCACTTCCACTCGATCCACTCGGGCACTAACTTCTCATCTCAACCCCACCTTTTGAATTTTCCCTCCTTTTAGCCATTTTCAAATTGGTAATTGGTCAAGCGGACCACGAAATTAGTGAACCTTACATAAAAATTAATTAATTTAAAAACGTTATTTGGTCGTTCGAACCACGAAATCTAATGAATTTGAAAATAACTTTGACATTTTCTTTTTTTTCTTTTTAGCAGTTTATTTTATTTTGCTGAAATTTCTTCTAGGTACAAAAAATACCTATCATTGCTATAAAATAAAACAACCCTGTTCCTTTAATTTAAGGATTGAACAGAACATCATTGAAACCGTAGTGTTTACTAGTAAAAATTAATAGGCCTTATCGTGAATGAAATCCTATTTTTTAATTACAAGGTTAATAACACTCTTAAAAAACCTAGAACGTCTTTTTCTCCTTTCTGTGCGTAATAATTTTTCAAAACAAACGTCACAGTCTAGGTTTTTTTTCAAACTATCTTCTATTTTGAAAACACGAAGCTGCATGTTCAGCTTAAAAGACGAAAGCTGATTACAACAAATTATTCTTATCATGAAAAAATCCTTATTAATAGAATTTCAGTTAAGAAACTAATCTATACTTTCAAAATAATGTTATATATTTTGACTAGGCTTCTCATTTTTTTATTTAAAAAATTTCAATTCTGAAACTTGCAGATAATTCACAAAACACGGATGATCATGAAATGGAAAATTTCGTTTCAAAACAAAAGGCGTCTGGTATTATTTCGGAACGATAATTGGGTCCTCGATGGCACGGTTCGCGTCTTATGAATTGAACTATAGCCGGCCGAACTTTGATAAAAACCCTTCATTCAAATATTGTTTATTTTCTCAAGTGGGGCCTCCTCTTGTGTAATCTTTCAGATCTGGCACATCTCACGGAACTTCCTTCTCTTGAGAACGAGACTGTATCCTCGTTCCTATGGTACTACATAATCGCCGTTGGAAACAACAAGTCATTTATTTTTGGCCAATGAGTCAATTTTAACTGTCACGACCATAAAACGTGGATATTTTTGAACTATTGACTATAAAAATTTGTTTCATCGAATTTTTTTGTTCCAATTTGAACCATGATTCTTTAAAACTTCAACGATTCAATAAATTTAATGGCAAATAATGAAATATACAGCGTGTAGAAAAACAAGAAAAAAATTTATGATTAAAATTATTTAAGCTTTTAGTCTCTCTATTCTAGCTCATTTTGTCTTACCAGAGAGGTTTCATCACCTTCAGTGGTTGTTCTTTTATGCAAAGTCTTGGTTGAGATAAAAAAAGTAAGTGTCACGAGCGGGATTCGAACCTACGACCTTAGGCTAAATACTCCGCTGGTCAAACCACTTGATCTATCCTCATTTCGATCTGAGTTCTATTTTGTCTATTTTCTTCTTCAAAAATACAACCCAGACTTATTCCAAAAAAAAAAAAAAAAAAAGGCAAACTACTAAAGATAATATCAAAACTGGCGAAATGTGCGGCCCTGGATAAAGAGAAACGATCTTTCTACTTTCGTCGATTACTTCACTGTAATCAGAATTACACAAAATATTAAATTTATAATGAAGTTCAAATTTAAATAGAATTTCCTGTGAATAATCTTTTTACAAAATAATTTGTGTTTGAAAAGTTTAACATTTTATTTTACACCCTAAAAATGTACTTATAAAAATATTTTAGAATTAATCTCGTAGTTATTTATAGTTTATTTATTTCGGCATCAAACTATCGATGTTCTAAGTTTGATATTTTATATTGAATTTGGAATAATACATTATGTACAGACCCAAATTTATCATACCAAAATTTTATTATAAAGAAAATTTCAATGCTCGAAAATAATATCCTATCGACGCTCTTGTACTACACACACATTCACGCTTATAAATACATTCACGAAACTGTTGTAATCCCATTTTTTCTCCGATTTAGAGAAAGGAGATTACTAACTATGTGATTGCCCCAACAGTCAACAGAAAATATAATTATCACCAAACCTTTCATATAAATTAAATAATAAGATTAACTGCAATAAAAAATCAATATATACAGAAATTCCCCTGTTTCTTCAAAAAATCAAAAAAGGGACCTGAAGATTCGCTGTTGTACTTCATTCCTACACGCTCTCTATATGGGACCAAGTAGCTACATGGCGGACTATGGACCAACAGTAAACGTTCATGTGTCAAACGCTCATGATGATGAGTTCGGATGAGGATGAGGATGATCATCAAGTTCAATGAGTTTTTCATGATACTCGACCCCACGTAGCACGAAGTTCCTATAGACTCTCTTGTACTACACGCACATTCACGCTTATAAATATATTCACGAAACTGTTGTAACTCCATTTTTACTCTGATTTCCAGAGTCAAGCCAGTTTAAAATATCTGATGAGAAAATGTAATACAGTTAACAATAATATAAAGATCACCAAACTTTTCATATAAATTAAATAATAATAAAAAAAATCTATATATACAAAAATTCCACGGTTTTCACCAAAAATCGAAATAAAGGATTTATAGATTCGCTGTTGTACTTCATGCCTACACGCTCTCTATAGGGTACCCTTTAGATGGCCCGGTTGAATTTCTCTTGAATTACGTCGCTCTGAAAAAAATACATTTAATATTTTTTAGTCTAGTCTAATTTTTTCCCCTTTTTTGGATGAAAATTATACAGGGTATCTCAGGCCCAGTTCAATTCCAAAATTTCAAATACGACCCTATACATCGTGACATATCATTTTAAAGGATATTTTACGCTTAAAACAATGGTGCAATTGGATTTTAAATTGGTCAAAAAATGACAAAGTTACGGTAAAAAGAAACCGTCAGCGTAATTTCGACGAAGAGATGAACATTGTACTGTATCCAATATATTTAGACGTCTGATTGACCAAATTACTTCTTTCCAAAAGAAAAACAGTAATGATAAAAATAAGTTAGTTTTCAAGGATAAATCAAAGATTCTAATACGTAATGTAGCTCTTTGAATACATTGTTACAAAACCGTTTTGTTAAGAGAGAGAAAATATTTTACATGATTCCTTCTTTAAATAGCAGCAGTTCAGTTTAAAACACTCGTCAAACTTTTGTAATAGGCTGAAATAATGTGGTGCCAGTATAATTTATTTATTCGACTGTAGTTTTTTTTAATCACCACTATCTTCCAATTTTAGATTAATGTTTTTCGCGCTGATAAAATTTGAACCGAGTCCAATTTGCCGATTAGCACGCAAATTTAATCTTCCGGTCCTAAGATCTATTTACTGCTAAATTTGTGACCTGAACATCGGGTCATCGTGCCGGCCGAAAACGCCATGTTAAAAAACGATGTTTGATTGCATGCTAGCGGTGACCTTTTTCAGCAAATTACGTATTTTAGGAGATAATTAATAACGCATTTAATTTTTTTGTAATTGTACTATTTTTTTCAATTTTATAAACAACAAGTTTATAAATTCAATTTATCAACTATAACAACAAAACTTTATAATTAATTTTAGAATTGGTGTTTCATTGTTTCATAAAATAAGAGTTTGTTTACTTGTAAATAAAACATTTGTAAGTAGATAAAATTGTATTTCAGCTTTTTAAAATATATCCATTTTCCAAAATTTAGAATCAAAATTACAGAGGCAACACTTGATTTTTTCGTATTTATAGAAGATTGAAAATATCTATAAGATCTCTATCGCGCTCTCTCTCTCTCTCTATTTCTCTCTCTCGCTCTCTCTCTCCTCTCTCTCGCTCTCTCTCTCTTTCTCCTGTCTTTACATCTATTATGTAACAATGTATCTCTCCTCTCTCTATTTATATATCTATCTTTATTATAACTATGTATCTTTTCTTCTATCTTTTTCTTTCTCTTTCTATCTACTTATCACCTCTACCTCCATCCACCTCTCTCTTTAAACCTATTTATCTACCTTTCACTATCTTACCATCTCTCTCTCTCTCTCTCTCTCTACTTACCTAGGTATTTTTCTTGCTCTATCTTTTTCTCTAGCTGCCCAGTGAGTCCTTTCTCTCTATCTATCTATGTAGCTATCTAAGAAGTTTTCTCTCTCTCACTTTCTCTTTCTCTTTTCCCTTCCTCACTTTCTATATATCATTCTATCTATTCCTCTCTCTCTCTCTCTCTCTCTCTCTCTCTCTCTCTCTCTCTCTCTCTCTCTCTCTCTATCAATCTATCTACCTAACTATGTCTCTCTTCTGTTATTATTTATCTGTTTATCTTTTTTTATATCTATACATATCTTCTCTTTATTTCGCTCTTTTTTTTCTCTCTCTTTATCTCTATCCATCTCTCTCTATCTAGTTATCGATCTATTTCTTCTCTTTCTCTCACCTCTCTCACTCTCTACCTACCTAGGTATTTTTCTTGCTCTATCTTTTTCTCTAGCTGCCCAGTGAGTCCTTTCTCTCTATCTATCTATCTAACTATGTCTCTCTTCTATTTTTATTTATCTATCATTTTTATATCTA